AAAGACACTGGTCCTATATGTCAAGAGTTTTCATTGGTAGATCAAATTTTCATTGTTCTTTAAAATCATCCTTCTTCTCTGGTTCTTGTGCTGATGCCGGTAGGAGGAAGTTTAAGATCAAATCAGTTTAAGTTAGGATCACAAACAACAAACTGCCTTAAACATAATTTATTGCAGGATGTAACAGAATTAAAACTATCTGTGTGTTTTGATTCTTCATTTCTAACCTTGATAGATTTGGGAGGGGAGGGGGTTAAATGCAAGCAAAACGCTGGAATTGTCTGGGCTTATAAAGCTTGGTTCTGTTTAATTAAATATCCCTACAACTTTTTTATAATATATTGGACCTTAACTCCATTTTGGCTTAGACTATGAATAACATATTTATTAAAAATTTGGACTCCGTTGCAGAGTTGTTTAATTACACTTAAAACACTTTCCAAAACATTGTTGATTCAGCGAAGCATAGATCTAGTCAATCGTATTTGTCACATTTGACTAGATCACATTTGGTTTGCTACTTGAAGGACTAATCTGTGGGAGTGCTATGGGAGTGGAAGAAGTAAAGAGAAAACCTTGTTTGACCTGTAAAGTCTGAGGACATGAGAAACAAATGTAATGCTGACAAAGGGTGAAAAAGGTAAAATTAATGGCCCTTTAACTCTGACACCATTGCTGATAACACAGTTTTAAGATAAAAATGGGCCAGACTCTGAGCTAAGGGGGAAAAAATCACTAAAATCAAGAACAGGCAATTATTTAAGAAAGGAAAAGGACCAACATCAGTGTCTTGTGAATGCAAAGGCAATATTTACTATAGATATTTTACACAGTAACTAGGGGAAACTTCCTCACCAATTGTCAAGATAAGCAGATAGACTTGAAATGCAAGATCAAGATACGTTAGCCTAAAGGTCTGGGCAGGAGGCATTATTTTAGCCTTAAAAAAAGACAGGCAGCAGAAAGGAATGTAATTCCACATATATTTCTTCAAGATGACATTAACTGAAATCTAGGTCATGACTAACAAATACAACAGAGTCTCCTAACAATTCAGACTTTGTTTTTTCAATTCAACAAATAAAAATACCATGACATTTTCCTTCTTGGATGTAACTAAATACTTTGATTGTTTACCAGCATTTATCCTGCAGATGCTTCAAGCACTCTTATATGCCTTGTGCAGACATTTGGATGAAGATCAGACATAAGTTCAGTTAGGCTCAGTCCATATTAGAGGGGGCAACAAGATTTTAAGCCAATTTGTTGCAGCTACAGCTGTTAAACAGTTTGGGCTAGAACTAAAAATAGACTTAAAGGCTTTAAGTGGCAGTTAGGTGCCTGAGTCCAAAGTTTAGATCCTCAAAATCCCTGATCAGCTGTCACCTAGTGCTTTAGATGCCTACATTTCTTAGGTAATTATGTCTTCAACAATAAAAGTCTTTTAGGTGCTTTTGTGTGCATGCTCACCCTCCTTTCCCCCATGTCCTGATGGCACTGAACAGCCTAGTGTCTAAACCATGCCATGGTAGTGATAGGGATGTTGTAGCGAACCATGCCAGGGATTCACAGACTTGTTGTTTTTCCAGGTAGCTCACTGGTGACACGCTCAGAACACAGTTGCTTGATAAGGTTGCACAAAATGCAGGAAAGAAATGAGGGTTCTCCACATTTCACATTCCCCAGGAATGTGGAAGCCCCAAGATCAAATTCATCCTTTGTTTGACTTGAAGCAGAAATTTGAATCTAGCCCTCCAATCTCTCAAGACATAACCCTTACCACAGGGTGATTACATATTCTGTGGTCCTTCCTTTCTCTGTCACACAGTTGAATGACCATAAGGACCAGCCACACAAACTTTTAGGTCAGGTTGGCATGACAGTGGCAGTACAACCTGGCCAGGATACTTCCACCTACTCCTATTTACATATTCCAAACTCAGAAATGCATCAGTAAAGCCCTGCAGGGTAACTGCTCATGAGACCTTGCTCTGTATATAGCAAGGGTAGCCAGCTTGTGGCATGCATACCATAAGTGGCATGGACAGACTCTGTGTGTCACATGGCAGATCAGGGAGTGGGCAGGCAGCAGAGCAGCAGATAGGGCAGGGAGCAGAAAGCAGAGCAGTGGGCAGAAAGTGGGTAAAGGAAGGGATGACAGTGGCATGAGAAGGGTGTGGAGCTAATCTGTGCCACATGCCTGCCAAAAAGGTCAAACCCCACTGGTCTACAGTGTGCTTGGAAGCAGCTGTTGCGTACTCCTGGAATGGCCTCACCTGCACATTTTTTGTTTGGAGTGTGCAGGCAGGAGCAGGTGGTCAGGGTGTCCTCAGAAAAGTCACTGCAGGACACTGCTGCCATGGTATAGATCAGAGGTTCCCAACTCCTGGGCCGTGGCTTGGTACAGGGCCGTGAAGGGTTGGCTGCCAGTCTGTAGGAAGGTTGTCTGCCTGACCAGAAGTCCGGAAGTGACCAGCATACTGCAGATCAGCCACCAACCCTTTTTTATACTGAGTATACTCCCTATACTGAGTATAAAAAAGTATACTCAGTATACTGGCAGATGGTCCGCAGTATGCTGGTCACTTCTGGTCTGCAGTATGCTGGTCCACAGTTTGCCGGTCTGCAATTTGTTAGTTCGTGGCACTTCCAGTTCACTGTCTAAAAAGGTTGGGAACCACTGGTATAGATAAACCCTAATTCTCCATTATCTTCTGTCTTGCACTTTGACACACATTATTTTTAGCTCCCTGCCATACCAACCTGTTACATAGTTTAGGAACTCCTTGCATAGTCTCTTTGTTGTTATATCAGGCTGAAGGGTATGTTCTTTAGTGGGCAGCTGGAGTTTCCTTCATTATGGCTGTATCAACTGCCATCTTTTCTGCACCTATTGGTTTTTCTGATTAGCACATTTCTGATGTGGTCTTGACACTTAATCCCAACCTTCTCAAATGTCTATATAGTTCTCTTCCTTTCTCTTACAAAAGGTCATCACTTTATCTTGTCCACATTAATATGCATTCCAAATAATTTGTTGGTCCTGTGGAAGATGTTGAGCAGACATTGAAAGCTCTTATTCTGAGAACTTCAGGTTCCCATTCTATTTGCTGTGCCCTGTTGCCCTGAAGCCTTTGGTTATCATGACTCCATCCTTAAATGGTCTTTTAAGGTAGATAAGCAAGGTGCTGGAATATAATCATCACCATCCTGAGTCAATCACTTAGCTCACCGTTGACCAGGGCTGCTAACCTCATCTCTTTGTAAATGCTGCTAGCTCTGCCAAAAATCTTCTTGCCTGAGACGTCAGAATGTAGTAACGGAAAACTCTGATACCTAATGCTAAGAGTAAGGCATTTGCTTTTACCCTTTTATCAGAAAGCCTGATGCTGATTGAAATATTCTGGGCATGCCTACATGTTCATTAATGCACTTTGGGCAATGCACATTAAATTTAGTACTACAAATGTGAGGTACTACAAAAGGTGCATTAGCCTATTTTAATGATGATTAGAGCAGGTGCAAGTCTTTTTGTGATGCTTTAATTTTCATGAAAATAGGCCAATGCACATTAAAACACCCATGTAGATGTGCCCTCTGACTCCTAACTTGAATAGGACTGTTCCACACCCAGGTGAGTATTCTAACCATTGGGCTACAGAATAAACCTTTTTTTCTGTCTGGGGTTCAATGTCTGTTTAATTATTTATGCAAACTAGAACAATTTCAAAAGCAGAGTCAGAGAGAAACCCATTCTAGCATACCTTATAGCTTAATGATTAGATTAATGCATCCTCAGATCTGAAAGGCAACCGCTGCTTATCACATGCAGAGAAATCAGGCCAAGTAAACCCTCTATGAGAATCTGTTCTTGTTCCCAGTGGCATGAATACCCATTGATTTCAGGGGGACATAATCCATCTCTAACTGAGAATCCAATAGCACTGGCAGAGATTGTAAGAGGCTAGCAAAGGACTTGGTTGATTCAATTACAAATGATTATACAACAGCAAGAGCCTCTGCAACCTTGTATATATACCTACTGCTCTTGCTCGTGCTGGTGTCTCTAGGCTCCATCCTGCTCCTCCAGCTTCTGCTTCTTGCTCCCACCCCTGGTTCTCTCCCACAGCATGGTTTGCTATAACCCCTAGCAGGTCACACTGCCCACGTGGGTAGTGGTTGAGTGGGAGGGGGTATGGACTAGGTACCCAGAAGTTGGATAGCTCTGATATAAGAAATCATCTAGTAATATATTATTTGCACAGATCACTGACAAGGGGGATAGGTGGATCTTAAGTTTTGTGCCCTGCAGGTCTCAGCTACGTCAAGATTTTGGTTTTTGGTCAAGCCTAGGAAATTGCTCCCATTCCCCACCCCACCCCTGACCCCAGCACACATACATACTCTCTCCCATATTAAAAGTTCAACTATGGCCCTCAATTGTCCCATGATGTCTGCCTCCATTACCCAACCTGCAATTTTTTTTAACACCTTTGTACAGCTGCCCCACAGGTGTGGGAGAGCATCTCATAAACATCTGCAAAATACTACATTGCTTACAGTTAAAACTTAAAACTCCCTTCTGCCACAATGCCTATAAAAACTTGACGATGATTAGGTTGATGATGTACTGAGGCATGATGATGTATCATGCTGAGAAATAGTGTCTCATGGTTTTAAAATCCCCGCCTCTCTATATTCATTTATTGTCCCTTGTCTTGTCTCTTATTTATACTGTAAGCAGTTTGGGATAAGGACAATCTCTTTATACCCCTACTACAATAGAATCCCCATCCTCCACACTGCAATAAGACAAATAAATAATAACTAGTCATTACCTCATTCCTGTCCTGGGGTTTGTACACTCTGACATACTTCTGACAAATACACTTGGAGCTTTTCCCTGCTGTGATTGCTTTTGTGAATTTTTCAGTGAGTGCACATCCAAAAATGATGCGTGTTACACAACATAGATAGTGCTGAGAGAATTGACATTTCACCTCTTTGGTGTCTCCTGGAGCCAAAAGTAGAACAGGAGGTAGGAACAACCCACTCTTTGCCCTAGAGTGAAGGGTGGCAGTAAAGCATGCAGTCTTTATCTTGTCATCCACTTTCTATCTGCTGAGAAAATGTCAAAATTAATTACTCTAATCATTATTGAAAGGAAGGCATATGACTCGGATTCTGAAATGTACACAGCTTAATGGAACGGGAATACTTTTTGGTTACTGTGACAAACGTGCTGTATATGGATTCAATTTACAGCATGAAAAGTTCTGTTCAGATTAGAATTTGCTTTGTGTCATCAAACTGACTTATTGAGAAACTTAGTTATAAGTTTGACCTTCGTCTTTGGGCTTAAGACAGAATAGAAGTTTTAATACAAACTGTCTGGGAGATAAGGATGAAGAAACTTTCTAAAACAGGGGTTGCAAATGTATTTGGCCCTGTGGGGTAGATGAGTGTCTGTGGGGTGGTTTGTAGGTCAGATTCAATTGTGCCAGAGCCAGGGGGTAGGGCCAATCTGGTGAGGCAGCATGTGCAGCATGGTCCCCATGCTGGCCTCATACCACAGGCAGCATGCACTAGCCCCAGGGCTTGCGTTATAGGCAGCACACAGGCTGGATCTGGTGCTGCAAGCACTCCCCACAGCCCAGGGGACTGGCATGGGGTGTGTGCTGAATTTAGTGCCCCACTGGAGCATCCCTGAACTCTAGGTCATTCAGAATTGGGCCTCAGTCTGTGTGCACAGAGCTAGCACACACAGCTGTCTGGCAGGTGCAACATGCGGTGTACACCCCATGCCATAGGAGGCACCCGCAGCACTAGGTCCAACTTATGTGCTAGTAGCACAAGCCCCAAACTGGGGCTGGCATGTGGTATGCAAGGTGTCACTCAACATGGCAGAGGGGGGCAGCATGGAGTGAATGATGCATATCAAACCACACCGGACAGCTCTACTTGCTGGCTGTAGTGCCATCTGATTCAGACTGGCCCCAGAGCCCCTGCACAGGGTTGGTTGGGTGCAGATGTTGCATGCAGCTCATACCCCAGACACACCTCCTGTGTTGCAAACAAAGTCGCTGCTGCCAGGTCCAGCCCATGTACCAGACCATCTTCTCATGCTGTATGCAGCACATGAGATTGGTTTGAGACCCACAAAGCCAGTTCATTCAGCTTCATGGGCTGAATCCAGCCCACAGGCCATATATCTGACACTCCTGTTCTAAAAGGTATTCTGTTAGTAAGAAGCAAGTCAAACCAGACATCCTTGGCATTTTCTTTTTATTTGCTCAAGTCTGTTCCTGTTTGAAGAGTCACTGTAAG